AGATTGAGGAACTAAATCGTCAAGTTGGTAGAAAAACTCCAAATGGACAAAATGAGCTATTGGAATAGCTCAAGTATCTCAAGCCACAAAATCTGAAGGTAAATGAAGCTATCTACTTATTAATTTCGTGTTATATCTCGATCATCTTTGTCGTCGGTAGTTGGCACTTGACAGCAGACTCAAGTTTTTCTGCTTCCCTGAATGTCCTTCATTGACTATGGTGGGAGCTTCCGGTTAGGTTATGAAATTTTGAACTTGTATTATTTTTTGTTCTAGGAGTTGACTAGTAGTGCTGGTGAGGATGTTGTGCTTGCAATGAACACATTCATAGCGTCTTCTGGCTGTTTCTGATCCTAGCCAAATGAAGGTTTGTCATTTATCATCATCATCAACTTTACTGTCTTTTCTTCTTTTCTTCATTTTTTTGTTCCATATATTCTTGACAGTAAGATTTAAATTTTCATTATTTTCCCATATTATCAAACAATTATCTAAAGGTTTTTCAAAATAAGATCATTTTGTCGAATGTGTAGCTAAAACCATACTGCATGCACACACACATATTGGAAATGGAGAAGAGAATACTGTTTTTCAGTAAAAGTGTCAGTCTGGACTGAAATTATGAAGAGATCTGTGATGTTATTCTTTTTTGGTCATTTATTCGGTCTGGACTTTAAACAATATTTTCTTGGAAATAACTTGGTTCTATGCATGAAGAAATTAATCATCTTCTGAGTTATAATAATCATGCCATTTTATTTGACATTTGATTTCTTGTTCTTAATTTCTTTCTTGATATGTAGTTGCAGATAAGTGTAACAGAGACTAGTGCCTCAGAACTTGCCAAGCTTCTTAACCGGCTGATGGTGGTTGGTTACAGCATCCGTAATATAGAAGTCCGATTTGACATGGAAAGAGTACTTGGAACTCCTCCAAAGCTTGCATGGTTGCCTCCAGGAGAAAATATTTATACATTTTGCATAACAACGGAGGATATAGCCAAGTTAGAGCATATTGATCTGAATGCCTCCTAATGCTTTAAGTTTGTGGCCTGTGGGAGGAAGGGGGTAATATTTGATAATGTACGGACAGGATATTAACAATTTTGAAACCTTTTATTGGTAATTTTGACATGAATCAATCATGCGTACGTATGGATGAGTCACGCAACATCTTTTAGCAAATGCTTTTGTGGTTAAGAACTTGAACATTTGATCATTACTTTTTGGATACTAATAGGCTTACCCTCTCGCTTTGCACATCTAGTCACACACTAATGGTGTCTGTTAGGCACACTGACTGTCTCCGTTACACACCCAGCCACTAAACTTCTCCATCTTCTTCAACTCTAGAGACTGCTGGGTTTCTTAATCTTGCTGCCATTAATGTAAGAAGCAAACATCCAACCAAAAAAGCGCCGCACGTTGCCTGTTGCTGCCCACAATCCATCCTTTTTGGAGCACCCGTTAGACATTTCCAACAACTCACAAAGAATCAAAAAGAAATTTCCAGCAACTCACAAGAAATTAAAAAAAAAAAAAAGAATAAAATCCAAAAATTGGTTTGAAATTAGAAAAAGACAAGTGATCTTACTATTCATCAGCTAAATCTAGCATTTTGTTTCTCACGGAACAATTCAAAGGTGAAATCCTTTGTATCAATTATGAAAATTACAACGGTAACAATAGTCATGCTTGCGAAGAACAATCAATGCCAGTTTTAAAATGAATGTGAGCAGAAAAAAAGAATGAGGAGGTTTACCAGTTTCCGACTCATCAAAACCCAAATCAAAATCCCTAAAATCCAACCCTCTTTCTCCCCAGATCTGAAATGAATGTGGAGGGGATTTCTTCTTTTTGTTCTTCAATCAAATTCTACTTAAATCCATCCCTTTCTACCATTTTGTTTTACTGCTAACTCTCCTCCTCAAAACCTAGATCTGAAAATCCCCAAAACCAGAAAACCCACAAAACCCAAGAGGCCCCAACCTTAGCTTTTCCAACATGGGTGAGGATGGAATGAAGGTGAAAACAGGGTTGGTGGCAGATCTTGGTGTGGTAATTTTGGAGAAAATGGAGGTCAGGCAAGGGCAATCGGAGAAAATGGAGGTTGGAGAAAATGGAGGTCGATCGGTGCCATTTTAGAGAAAATGGAGGTTGATGAAATTTTTATCTTGGGTCCCAGGCCATAGCCACCTACCAGGAATTACGAAGGAGAGCAAACAAGTTACAGAAGAAAGGAAAGGAGAGAGAAAAAAAGGTTGGGTAACAAACAACGTCAGTTGGCACGATGGAAACGATTAGGGTGTAATGAAATGTGTAACGTTGGAGTGTGTGAATATCATTACCCTTATTTTTTTCTTTTTGGTGAAATTTGAACGTTTAAGTTGAAAGTCTTTTTTATCATATTCTAAAGTAGGTGGAGAACGGGTTTGTTAAGGGTGGGTTATCTTATATTATTTGAGTAATAATTTTTCATATCAAATTTTAAAATAAAATTTTGGATAAATTCCTTATCTTTTTTATTTTATTAAATGTTTAATTAAAACTATTTAGATATATAGTGTTAATTTTAAAACTGTTGTTTACTTCTATAAAAGTAAAACTAATTAGACATTTGTTTTCCCTTATTTTAAAACTAATTTTTTTCTACCAATCTTAAGGGTACATCACTCGTGTCGGCTTAATGTATTAAAAAATTTTAAAATTTTTAAGTGCTGATCAAAAAACTTGAATTCTAAATGTGATTTTCAAGATGATACTTGTATATTAATGGATCCAACCATTTGATATATTATATAATATACTCTTAATTTATGCCATAAAGTTATAAATTTTTTTCATTAAAAGAATTTATAATTTAAAAAAATTATTTGCAATTTTGCAAAAGCATCCACTTGTGGACAACATTCAAATGATAAGAAAATCAACATGGCTAGTAAGGAAAGTGATGGTCAAATGAGAGTACTAATCAAAGTGAACGGAAGTCCCCACTCCCCACGTCAAATGATCCGGAAGCACCGCACATGCATTGCCTATTTTCAAAAAAAAAATTTGAAAGAAGGACCGCAAATGACGACTTTCAACTTTGAAGATCCACGCCAAATTTCAATACTAATACAAGTTCATGGAAGGTCCACCGCACAAGTCCCACCGTGGAGTAACCAATTCACGTTCCAATACTAATCAATGTCCCCACTAAAACCTTTGACTAAATCAACGAATTATTTTTGAATTCTGCACCAACTCGTATCGGGTAAATAGAATTAATCCATCATACATAATAACCACCTGTGCTACTAGTCCTATCTTAGCTTTCTCCCAAATGGAAGATATGAGAGATTCAATGGCAGTACCATGGATTCTGAGGATGGTTATCAAGTTTCATCCATTATTGACAGTAACTAGTCTTATCTATCAGGTAATACTTGTTGACTCAATGTACTCCAAGAGCGGTGTGAATTGGAATTCTAAAAATTCTCCCATTTTGCAACCACAAAACTAAAGTTAAAGAGAGTAGAGAAGAAGAGCTTGCACAATGAATTTATAGAGATTCGGTCCAACCACTTGGAGCCTAATCCTCTACCTTAGTTTCACTCACCAAGGATTTCCTCCACACTCTTCACTAAGAAAAACAATGGTGGCTTAAAGGAGCCACTCAATCCTTTTACAAAAATATGAGTATTTCTCTCAAACCTCACCCCTTTACATGTAAACCCCAAGAATCCTCTCTATAGATCACTCTTGAAGGATTAATCACACCCCCAAGATCACTCACAAATAGAACAAGAAGAGGATTACAAGTAAAGATATCTTAAAGATCAAAAACTCATGTTAAAGCTCATGTAGGTAGGTAAAGATATTCAATATAATGCTCTCTAAACTTCTTCAAATCTGTTACCAACCATATTTATAACCCCTTGCTCAAAAATAGCCGTTTCTAGCCGTTGGGGGTCATTAAATGCTATGTAGGACGCAAAGCTCGAGTTGCAGGATTATCAGGAGAGCCGGCTTAACTTCCTAGAGCCAGCTCTAGACAGCCGGCTTACCATTTCTACAACCGACTTTGCAGGATTTTGCACATTCTGTTTTCTCCATAGAGCTGGCTCCAAAACGCAAAGTCGGCTTTGCGGGTTTGCTGCACATTCTATTTTCTTCAACAACCAGCTGCAAAAAACCTAGAGCTGGCTTTGGTATTCCGACTTCAAAAATATTAGGTTAAATGCTAAATTTGGTCCCTTAACTTTAGTGAGTTGCACATTTTTGGTCCTTCAACAATTTTTTGCACTTTTTTAATCCCTCAACTATATGAAATGCGCTCCGTTAGTCCTTTTGTCAATTTTCGCCGTTAACTCAGCCACATGGCATTTTTTATATTTTTTTTATGACATGGCAAAAATAACTTAAAAAGGCACTGATTTGGACCTTTTTGGTGACATGTCATCTTCCTTTCTCGTCTTCACTCTCTGTAAAATCAATCTCCACTCCATCTACAGAATCAATCTCCACTCCATCTATAGAATCAATCTTAACCCATTTCTTCTTCTTCTCTAAATGCTCTCTCATCTCCACTCCTCTACAAAACCGATCTTAACCCATTTCTTCTTCTTCTCTTTTCTCAAGAGAACTTGAGAAATTGAACCCAGTTACTGGGTTTCATTGAAGCCTCAAACTTAGTAGATCTAATCAAATCAAATTAACCCTTCAATAAATAATATCAATCAAACTCTAACCAAATTCCAACAAAAATACAATCAAATTGTAAATCAACTCTCAAAGTTATTAACACCTGGAAATGAAAATCGAAAGAAGAATGAAAAAACATAAATCCAGCATCGAAACAGCAAAGCTGGATTCATCGGAACCCAGTTGGGTCTTGACAAACCCAGCAGCTGGGTTCGGGGAAACCCAGCAAGACTAGGTTCGACAAGACCCAGCAGGGTTCGTTGGAACCCAGGTTGGGTTTTGGGAAACCCAGCCTTTTGGGAAACCCAGCTTGGCTGGGTTCGACGAGACCCAGCAGGGTTCGTCGGAACCCAGCCTGCTGGGTCTTGTCGGAACCCAACAAGGGAGACCTAGCCAAGCTGGGTTCGACGGGACCCAACCTTGCTGGGTTTGACAGAACCAAGTAGATCTGGGTTTCGTCGAACCCAGCAAGGCTGGGTTCCAACGAGACCGAGCAGGCTGGGTTCCGACGAGATCCAGCAGGCTGGGTTCGTCGCAGCCATCGGAATCCAGCCTGGTGGAGACCTAGGGCAAGAAAGAAAGAAAGAGAAAGATAGAAGGGGAAGAAGAGGGATTGGGTGGGTGAGGGTAGTTAGGTAATTTTATTTGTTTTTATTTAAACTATAAATATTAATCTACGTGTTATTTTATTTATTAATATAACATAATTAAAATATATATTATTGCCACATCATCAAAAAAATTATAAGATAATGTCACATGAAATTATTTAACTGCCACATCATACGTAACTGACGGAGGGACCAAAACTGTGCAATTTTTAGAGTCGAGGGATAAAAAAAATGAAAAAAATTGTTGAGGGATCAAAAATGTGCATTTCTTAAAGTTGAGGGACTAAATTTAGCATTTAACCAAAATATTAATTATTCTTCCAATAAGTCGACCGTTGTACATTAAATGCGCCCTTACAGCCGGCTGCAAAGTTGGAGCCGGCTTTGCATCTTTTCTCCGCCCGCGCCAAAGAATGGTCTTCAAATTTTTGCCCGTAGAGCCAGCTACAGCTTCTAGAGCCGGCTCTCTGCACTTCCATTTCATCAGAGCTAGCTGCAGCTTTCAAGAGCCGGTTCTCTGCACATACTCAAGCTTTTCTAGTCCATTTTTAAGTGCAGTCCAAGTTTACTTATTTTGCAATCTTTTGACATTTTAACTACACACTTAAATGAACCAATTAGTCACTCAAATGTGTTTTGTAATCATCAAAATCATAGGTACAACAATACTTTTGCATGTTTGGATTGAAGAGGAGATGAAAAATCAATGGAAAGCCTTCAAGGTGTATTTCCAATCGACAATGAGATCTCTGCTGGATCCTATTATTTAGAAGATGAAGAATCTATCGAAAGCCCTCGAGATGCATCTCCAAAATGAAGCGGCAAAGGGTCAGCTAAAGACTAAACTGATCAGTAAACTTGCCTTGTTCTCTACCATATTTCTTCTATTGAATACAGAGTTAAGTTCTAAATATGATAGAAGAGGAGTCAAAACACATTTATTGATGATTATTGGCCTTGGCCCATTTACATATTCAAGGCATTGGAGTCAATTTAAAATTCTTCATGGAAGGTGCAGCTGCATGGTAAATTCATCAAGCTTCACCTTCTTTATTATAGCACTTCTTTTTGCAAAATTTTATGATAATTCCTTGAAGGGCCTCAGTGCTATGTTGTGCATCTCAGTTTTTCTTCTATGTG